AACGCAGAGCCTGCTTGGGATTCTCTCTACATCTCTCTCCACTCCTCCTCTGCTGACATTCTCTCTTTCCTTCTCTCAAAATAAATAAACAGATGTAAAAAACACAGAATCAAGAGTTATTTGAACATAGATAGACAGATAGGCTTATTTACACATATATATCAATATATATGTTTATTTTTGGACAGGTTATTTTGTCCCTTGATATATTTCTTTTTCATTTAACCAATGCAATATTCACTTAATTAATATGTTCCAATAACAGGTGTTTAATAATTTTACTCTATAAAAATTCACAAAAAATGACTAGATGTGTAAATACCTTAAATCCATTATTTTTTAAATACTAAAAGACATTTATATTTGTAATGTCAATAGACATTTCAGTGAGAGTTTACTATTCTTTATATATTGATATATTTTATTTGTTTCTTTTTGTTTAAGGGTTTTGGAGTGAAATTTATGAGATAGACACACCTATAATTTGTATTTTAATTTCTAAATTATAACTATGAGAGACTCATAAATACAGCTAGGAAATATTGCCTTTATGATCGTTCTTGGGTTTGTAACAATGGTCTTGTTTCTTTCTTAAATGTTTAGTAGTAAACACTAGTGGAGCCAATTACAAGAGAATCATTGTTCATGGGAAAATTGTTAATAAAAATTTAATTGTTTTAGTAGACATTTTAAAATGTATATTCCTCCTTCATACATCACCCTGATCTCTTCAATTTTTTTTTATTTTAACAAATCCTTAATTTTTGGTGAAAATATTGTTTATTATGCAGTTGAACCCTTGACCAGGAGTCGGGAACATAGAACTCCTATGTAGCCGAAAATCTGCATATAACTCATGACTCCCTAAAAATGAAACTGCTAATAGCTTACTGACAACCAGAGACTTACTAATAACCTAAACAGTTGATTAACATACATTTTGTGTGTTATATGTATTATATGCTGTTTTCTTACAGTTAAGTAAGCTAGAGAAAAGAAATAGTTATTAAGAAAATCATAAGGAAGGGACAGTACATCTACAGCACTGTACTGTATTTGTTGAAAAAAAAGATGTGCATGGAAGTGGACCCATGCAGCTCAAGTCCATGTTATTCAAGGGTCAACTGTATATATTTTTTAATATCAGGAGTATCTGTCTGTAGTGCTATCCCGTTTTCTTTCCTGAGACTTGTGACTTAATGTTGCTGTTTTTCCACTGTTATCTTGGTTAGGGTTTTATACATCTTACTAGTCTTTCTGAGAATCAATGTTAAGCCATGTGATCAGCTCACACCTGTCAGAATGGCTAAATGTGGGTGAGGATGCAGTTCTCCATGAAGGGGCCTTCATGCACTGTTGGTGGGAACGCACGCTGGTGCGGCCTCTATGGAAAAGAGTATGGAGTTCCCTCAAAGAGTTAAAAATAGAACTACACTCTGATCTGGCAGTCACACTACTGGGTATTTACTCAATAATACAAAAACATTAATTCAAAGGGATACACACACCCTATGTATATTGCAGCATTATTTACAACGGCCAAACTATGGAGTGGCCCAAGTGTCCATCGATAGATGAATGGATTAACAAGATGTGGTCTAAATATACAATGGAGTATTATTCAGCCATAAAAAAGAATGAGATCTTGCCATTTGCAATGACATCAACGGAGCTAGAGAGGATAATGGAGATAGCAAGATGACTCAGTCAGAGAAAGACAAATACCATATGATTTCACTTATATGTGAAATTAAGGAAACAAAAATAAATAGCAAAGGAAAAAGGAGAGAGACACAGAGAGAGAGAAACCAAGAAGCAAACTCTTAATTCCAGAGAACAAACTGATGGTTACCAGAGGGGAGGAGGGGGGTGACTGGAGAGATTCTGGAAATAAAGGAAGGGGATTAGAGAGTATACTTATCATGATAAACACTGAATAAGGTACACGATTGAAGAGTCACTATATTGTACTCCTGAGACTAATATGACATGTATGTTAACTATACTGGAATTAAAATTAAAAACTCAATAAGACATACTAAAATAGCCATGTTAAGCCATGTGAATATCCTATATTATCCACATGTTTCTATTTCATGATTTTTTATCTGTAAAATTTACTCTCATTTTTTTTGTTTGACTTGCTGTGTTCTCTTTCACTATATTAAAATTCAAGATTAATCCAGTTGTTCCTGTTTTTCTTGTTTATAGTCTTTACTTATATTGCTTTGTATATATCCCTCTAAGTACTTCTTTCACTGAATTGCAAAAGTTTACACATAACATAATGCACTATTTAGTTCAAATTTAGTCAAATTTTAATTTGAGTTCTTTTCAATCTATTGAGTTTTAGGGAGTATCTTTAATGTCCATGCCATTAGACCCTTCTCAACTAATTATCTAATAGTTAACTGATTTCTATATTAAGCTGACCATCATCAAAGAACACACACTGAATGATTTCAATCGTTGAATCTGCGGAGGGTTTCTTTATGTCCCATCAGACGAGAGAATGGCAGTAAGTGTTCTTATGTATTTTGAGCAATAGCATGTTTTTATTGCTAATGCCATCGTGGGCAGTTTAAGGAACTGGATTCTGGTACATTTGATCAATTGGATAGCGAGGCTCTACCACCTGTGCTTTCCCCTTGGAGATGTTGGAAAGTTCAGATGTCTCCTAATACTATGGTTCCTGGCACAGATTTTGTTCTACCAATGAGATCCACACAAACTCAGAATTTGGTAGAAAATTTCAACATTTTCTACCATGGAAATGTCACCTTAGGAAGGTTGTGGGTACATAGGGGCTATTTTCTGCAGCATTGTTGAGTCCCCAACTTCCTAGAGAGGCTATTTTCATGGATGAGGAAGCAGTGACATCTTTTTGCTTCCATGTGTCTGATCTCTGGACCAGAGTTAAAGTTCAGTATTTTTAAATTGTATCTCCAATGGTAGCCTATCTTTGTGAATCTTATTATATTGCTCTAAGGGTCATTATTAGAGTGTCACCCGGAAATTCCTCCAGCCTTTCCAAACTTCACAGGCCTCAATTCACCTTCATTAATAATTTCCAGTTTAAGATACTTAAACTATTTACTCTTCCTACACTTACCAAACTTTTACTAATGCTGCATTATAATGAAGGAAAGTGCCAGGCCCATATGTTTTGCTATGTACACACTAAAAAAAAATCCAGATAATTCTAGAAATAATTTTTAAATAAAAAAGATTTTCTAAAAGTAGAATTATAATTAAATTATGGAAATCTTCAGGAGAAAATGGCATCTGCATAATTATAATACGCTGTTTCATTAAATAGAGTATTATGTCTTTGTTTTTACTGTAGTCTTTTAGCCACACATAATTATTGAGGATTTTTAAATACAGATCATGATCTCTTATCCAATTTCATGCTAAGAATTCTTAGAATATTTTTTAAATTATCATTTCTTCCACTATATTTTCAAAATATTTAGTATTTACACATAAGAAAGCTTAGAATTAGCAAAACATTATCTGACTTTGTGACTTAGAGGGCATTTGTCATGGCATGAAACACATCGACATCAGGAAAAACAGGTCAATCATAATTTGGAGTTAACTTCTATCTTTTTTTAAAGCATAGCAAATGTAATTTATGATGATTTAATATATTCATTCGTTTTAAACTTAAATAGCACAAACTTTAAATCTGTTTCCTTATGCTTACCAATATCTATGCTATGATAATTACCAGAATGTCTTTCCTTGCCAATGAAGAAAATAAAGTCCAGAGAAATTTCCCAAAGGATACACACAACCAGAGAAGAAAAGCTCCTCATATATGGACTATTATTAGATAATTTGCTTATGTCTGAGGTTACTGCAGTCCTCATGGACAACAGCCCTTGAGCCTGCACTTCTGTCTCCATAATTGACTTTATGATTGCTCCTCTCCCAATGGAATCCATCACAGAGGATGAACAAAACCTCAATGTGGAAAAATCCTGCAGAAAGGTATCAGAAGTAAAGTAAGTACTGTTGATATTCTACCAAGTGATCATGGACTCTGGAGACCGAAGGTTGTTATGGTCCTCAAATATCCATGGATATCCCATTGTCCTTATTTTAAGATATGTAAGGCATAATAGAATATAAGACAGGTATTCCTTAAGTATACTTACCCTGACTAAAAAGTGAGAGCTCTTGAATTGATGCAGGTTTGATAAAAAGTTATTCATTGTCATGTAAGGACTGGAATGGTTATCAGCTTCTTTCTCTACTTCAAAGATAATGGTTAGGTTAATATGTAATATATTAAATCACACAACTAGTAATGGAAAGAAAATATATATAATGAGGCAATAAAAATGCATCTATTTGGGAGGAATATCCTTGACCTGAGAAAATGAACACAGGTTTGGAAAGAGCGTTAGAAAATGATATCTAGGTTTAGTGATTGTTTTGATGTTATTAATTTTAATTACCAACAACTTATCACCTTTTATTCTATTTTTGGAGATGGCACAGTAACAATGGAAACCAAATAGTAGTGGTGAAAGAAGGTAAAAATGTATCTAAATATATTACTGTCTTTTAATGATTCAGGAAGTGACAGGCAATCATGATGGCTATGGCACTATCATACAGATTATATGTATACCCTGCATTTTAGGTTATATTCTTACTTTAGTTAAAGACAACTATTTAATGATAAATATATTAGGAATAGAAATTCAAAATGTCACTAACATTAGACAATATGTTATGTTACTTTCTTGGTGAATACTCAGCAAAAAAATGATCTAAAATGCAATAACCCATTAACTTCTTTCACTGCTTAATAAAATAACAGTTTTATGGACTTCATATTATCTAGTTCAAATTCCTGATTCTTCATGACATTAACATGGCTTTATATGCAATATTTAATTAAGATATAACTAATTTATTCTACACGTAAGAAATTATTTGTGTCACTAGAAACCAAGCACGGGTTTCATTTCTTTGCTTTTCCTTGTGCCTCTCAGCAGGTTTCTGCCATGGGTGACAGAGGAACAAACAATCACTCTGAAGTGACTGACTTCATCCTGGTAGGCTTCAGGGTCAGCTCTGAGCTCCACATTCTCCTCTTCCTGATCTTTCTGCTTGTGTATGCCATGATCCTTCTGGGTAATGTTGGGATGATGACCATTATTATGACTGATCCCCGGCTGAACACACCCATGTATTTCTTCCTAGGCAACCTGTCCTTCATTGATCTCTTCTATTCGTCTGTTATTGCACCCAAGGCCATGATCAACTTCTGGTCTGAGAGCAAGTCCATCTCTTTTGCAGGCTGTGTGACCCAATTCTGTCTCTTTACCCTCTTCATCGTGTCAGAGGGATTTCTCCTGGCAGCCATGGCCTATGACCGCTTCATTGCCATCTGCAACCCACTCCTCTACTCTGTCCAGATGTCAGCACGTCTCTGCATGCAGTTGGTGGCTGGTTCCTATTTATGCGGCTGCATCAGCTCGGTTCTTCAGACAAGCATGACATTTACTCTGTCCTTTTGTGGTTCTCGGGCCATTGACCACTTTTACTGTGACACTCGCCCACTTGAGAGGATATCTTGCTCTGACCTCTTCATCTCTAGAATCATTTCCTTTTCCTTATGCAGCATCATCATCTTGCCTACCATCATAGTTATTATTATTTCTTACTTGTATATTGTGTCCACAGTTCTCAAGATACGCTCCTCTGAGGGACGTAAGAAAGCGTTCTCCACTTGCAGTTCACACCTGGGAGTCGTGAGTGTGCTGTACGGTGCTGTGTTTTTTATGTATCTCACTCCTGACAGATTTCCTGAGCTGAGTAAAGTGGCCTCGTTGTGTTACACCCTAGTCACTCCCATGCTGAATCCTTTGATTTACTCTCTAAGAAACAAAGATGTCAAAGAAGCTTTGAGAAAGAGTCTGGGGAAAAAAATATTTTTGTTTAATTCTATCTTAACAGTGACATAACTGAAAGGCACCGATATTATGACAATCTGGGGAGGCATTGAAGCGAAGAATGCAAACAATGAGGTTGAAATATTTAATTTTAGAAAGTTTATTTATTTGAATCCCATGTACTTATAGCTGAAGAATACATTTGGTCTATATTTGTCTAGCTGTTAATTTTGGGGTGGAATGGCTTTCTTCATACTTCATCTTCATTTGAGTAAAGACAATGGTTGCCAAGTAATTTGAATTTAGGGAAAATATATTCCAAGTTTGCCGCTGGCTCCCTAAGGGATGTATTGTCTATCTTGAGTCAATAACAAATGTTATTTAACGTACACAATTGGTAGATGTAACAAAATATGATATAATAAGACAGATCAAAGTATCAGCTTTACTGAAGAAACCTTTTTCAGTGCTGAACGAGAAAAACGGATACTCTATAGAGTGTACAGTGTCCTAAGGGTGACATGTGAGTCGCTCAATTGTCCAGCGACTGAATGATTCACACTCTTAGTTAATGGTTTCTCTGGCTTAGATCAGTTGTTTTTGCAAATCCTCCCTTTCACAAAACTACTGTAATGAAATTGAACCAAAATAAAGATAATGCATTTTTGTTATATATGGCTTAGTGAAAATTAATTCATCTCATTGGTAATTTTGAATTTTGATGCACCCTTGTCCTGTGAAATTTCCATGTATAAATAACTTCAGTGCTTAGCTCACTGTGAAATCAGGGGGAAATAGCTATAGAGAACTAAGCTGCTATATGTTAGTCCGGTGAAAAAGGGATTTATGGAAAATACAAAGAAAGGGTAGTCTCTAAAGGTGAGTGGTCCTATGGTCACAGAACACTTCCTAAGCACATTTGAAACAAATAGCATTAAGCCAAATGAAATAAATAGCTTTCTGTGCAAAAGGAGAGTTAAGTATATGGTGAGCTTCATGAAGTTTGTAAGTGATTTGTAATGCACAAGACAAAGTGAGGGATGACACTTCAAAGGAAATTCGTGGAAATCATGCAGACATATTTTTCATGCTAAGGAAGCTGACCTTTATTCTGTATACGGGGGTAAGCATTGAGGATTTTTAGAAAGACAGTGTTGTATTCAAATTAGCATTTTACAAAAATCATATCATTACCTTTGAGGAAGATAAATACTCATAGGGAGAAGACGGTAATCCCAGAAAGTGTGTGGTCATCAAGAGGTTATGGTGGCTTTAATGGATGGAGTCTTATGAGACAGCAAAGAAAGAGATGACCTTTAGAATGGAAGGTAAAGTAAGCTGAATACTGATTGCTGGTTGATAACATGAGAATGACCTAGAAGTGAATAATGACTCTAATGTTTGAGCATCTGTGCTGGAGAAATGCTACCTCATAATGAGGAAGGAAATATAAGGGTAAGAATAGTTCATCAGTAAGAGTTAAGAAAATAAGTTCAGGTGTCAGAGCTTTCAAATTCTGTTTTTGCCTCTATAGCTTCGGGTAAGTTACATAGTATCTCCGCATTGTTATTTCCTCCTGAAAAATGGGGTGTATAAGAGAATCTCCACCATAGAGTCACTTGAATGATTGAATTATGTAAATTTCATATGTTTGTTAAATCCACATCAGATTTGTCCTTTCTTCCTGCTCTCAACATTATTCCTGTTACGTCTGAGAGAGGAAGACACTAACTTTCTCTGCCCCCATGAAGTGTCCCCAGCTCTCCAAGTGTATCTGCTTCCATTTCCATAGGCAGAGCTTGAGAAACGCTTACTACTTCATCATTTCAGAATAACCTTTCTTTACCTTTCTCTCTGCAGAAAACTAGTGGAAAAGATTGTAAAATGATCAAAAAGGCAACAGAGGTCCAAATTATTTTTTTCTATTTAGTACTATTTTTTTATGTACATTTTAGCTAGCCAACATATAGGGCAATATTGGTTTCAGGAGTAGAATTCAGTGACTCATTTACATACAACACCCAGTGCTCATCACAAGTGCCCTCCTTAATACCCATCACCCATCTAGCCCATCCCCCAATTAAATGCAAAATAGTATCTAATCATCAAATGTTTTATCTAGTCATCTCTCTACCCATGTCTTTCTCTAAGAATCCTCTCTTATACTTTAACAAATGTCATCTCTTTCACCCACATTTTAAAAACTGCAGATTACTAGGGAAAATACGGGATTCACGGGGTAGAAAAACTACGATTTTCAAATAAGTGGTCACTGTGCTAAGGTTGTGTCTTGTCTCTCCTGAGATGAAGCAGAAACATGTTTAGGTTGAAAGAGGCATAGTTTACTAAGCCTCCTTAGGGAATAAAATGCAGATGCCCTCAGGCAGTACTCCAGATAAACCTGAAATGAGAGAGGCTCCTAACTTTTTAAATCTTCATCAATTGATATTAGTAATCCTTTATCAAACTGAGAAAAAAAGACCCTAATCATAGTGCTAACTGCCATGGCAGAACAATGTTCCTCTATATTCACTATGTGCTACTCTGCCACAACCACCATTGGACACACACATGCACATATATACAAACATTAACGTGGTCTTTCTGTCTCTTTCTCTCTGTCTTTGTCTCTGTTTCTGCCTCTCTCTCTCTCTCTCTCTCTCTCTCTCACGCACACACACAATCTCACACACACACACACACACACACACACTCACACCAGGTTATCTTTGAAAGGAACACCAATCACTGAACCTAGAACAATATATGTCCAATGTCATGCAGCTGACTCAGAAAAGAATCCACAGGCTGATGTAGAAGCTAACAGACCTCACCATGACAAGACATGCACAATAATTCTTCAGTTCTGACCTTTTCCCTTTTCCTGATGTCAAGAAATTTCTGTGTTGCTATAGGAATTGCATACACCTGCAGTCAGGTGTTATCTGTTCTCACTCCTATTAGGAAATTACTCCTCTCCTTTTTTTGATTCAAAAAGGATTCATGTACCGTACAATGTAAGTTCTTAAAGCAGGGATATATTGAATAATAATGATAATAATAGCTAGCATATTAATATAAATGTATCAAAATAGATGCAGAAATGCATAAACATATATGTATATGTAATTCTTTGAATATGATATATGCATTACAGGACCACTTATAAACGTATCATTGTAGTACAAGTCATGTACAAAAGCATTTAATAACATACAACTAATATTTTAATTTTGAGATTACATGATTTTTTATTAAGGTTTTTATTTTAATTCCAGTAGAGTTAACATACAGTGTTATATTTGTTTCAGGTGTACAATATGGTGATTCAACACTTCCATACATCATTGTCAGTGCTCATCATGATAAGTGTACTCTTAAGCCCTTTCACCTGTTTTACCCACCTTGTTATCTAAAACTTTATGCACATAAGGGACATCTTCAAACTCATCTAATGACTTCCCATTAAATGTGTCATATAGCTGACTGCATTGCCAGTAACTAATAAAGCTTTCTTAATTTAAATAATAGTGTTAATGGTAGTGAAACCTCATTCCACAGCTGCTATACTAACGATCATAGTAAAAGGTTTGAGCCTACTTTTATCATTGAGATTTTTTATATAATAAATATTTTCTATGCCTTCAGTAGTTTCCTGTTTTTAGGCCAACATTAAAACTTCAATCCAAAAGAAAAAGAGAGAGAGAGAGAGTGAGAGAGAAAGAAAGAAACATCTCTGAATCATTGCTCTAAAATGCAACTCCTTCAATCTAAAAAATAAGATCTGCCCAATTCTTTCTTCAACCACTGTATTGAGAAGTAGTTGTAAAATAAACTGTATTCATTCAAAGTATACAATTCTGAATTTTGGCAGTTTTATGCATCAGTGAAACCCTCACTAGATTAAGATTCCAAACTGTTATTTCAAAGGTTTTTTTTTTATTATTTATTTAAGTAATCTCTACACCCTGTATAGGGTTCAAACTGATGACCTGGAATCAGAAATCACCTGCTCATCCAACGGGACCAACCAGGAACCCCAAGATACAGAAGTTTTCTATCACCTCAGAAAGATTTATCATGCCCCTATTTAAGTCATGCCTCCTTCCAATCCCATTCCCAGATAACCAGTGATCTGATTTGTTTTTGTTTTTGTTTTTTTTGCACATCCATCTATTTATCTACCTATTTAACCTGCATGTGATATGCCCTTTTTCCTGGAAGGCTTCTTTAAGTGAGCGAAATGAATTTGAATTTATTCCTTTTGTCATGTGTAGAAGTAAATCACTCTTTATTGGCCAGTAGCATTCCATCTTTAGTTGCATATATACACCAAATTTTGTTTATGCACTCTTAAATTGATGGGCAATTGATTAGATATTGTGAATAAAGCCAATATGAACATTCACATGGCATGTATTTGAACCAGGGCCTACTCTGTCTCCCCCCCCTCCCAGCCCAGCATGATAGGAAGCACACAGGCAAGTGCAGACTCTTCTTCCCCTAGATCCCAGTCAAGGGCTACCCTATCACCTTGAGAGTGGCAGGCTGAAAACATTTCTTACCCCTTCCAGCTCCATGCTACAGAAGCTCCACTCAAGGCAATAGTAGCTAAAAGGTCTAGAGATCTCTACCTCTACCCAGCATCTATTCATAAGATAGAAGGTCTACCCCAAGCATGATAGGCCAAGAATTATAGGGCTCAACTTCAACTGAGTCAGTTCAAAGGATAGAGGTTTTTTGCCAAGAGAGATAAGCTTAGAAGACCATAGGTTACTGACCTCAGCGGAAACCTGCTCATAAACCAGGGTGTCACTGTGACAGAACTGGTCATGCTCCTGTTCCAGTTCCAGAACAGTTGAACACAGGTTTTACCTGCAATGAAAGGCAGGCAGTATTAACAGAGGCTCCAAACTCTCCTCAAGTGAACTGACTTTATTTTGAGCAAAGTGTGGGAAAATTCTAGCCCAAGTGACTCTCAAACACAATGCACATTTGGTGATAAGACATTAAGAGGAGGCTGGTAGCTCCATGAGACCAAAAATCTAAGTGTAGACCAACTAGATGTATAT